TCTTGTCACGCTGATATAGTATGCCTACAGGAGACTAAGTTTGCCACTGATTCCTGCCCGAAATACTTACACAAACACTATACCCAGTTCTATTGTGCAAACTTTAACGAAAAGAAACGTGGAGTGATGATTGCATTTTGTAAATCATTCCCCTTTATTTGCGATAAACAGATAGCGGACCCAACAGGTCGTTACATTATCCTTCTGGGGACAATACTAGATGTTGACGTCACCATTGTTTCTTACTATACCCCCAACACCCACCAACTTCGGTTTCTTTCCCACTTATTTCAAGTAATTAAATGCCACGCCACGGGACTACTTTTACTAGCAGGGGACACCAATTTAGTGACCGACCCCGACAAGACAATGAAAGCCAGAGCCCTGCCTTCGGGCAGGTCCCCAACCTCAGATAATCTCCTACTCTCAAACATGTTAAGTGATAATCGCCCAGTGGATGTGTGGCGGGAACTGAACCCCACAACAAAAGATTATACCTTTTTCTCTAATCCCCACCAAATTCACAGTAGAATAGATCATGTCTTTACTAATCAACAATCTCTAGATTCTTTCTCTAAAGCGACCATTAAGGCTACTCCTTGGTCAGATCACACCCCCAACTTAATACAATTTGACCTAGAAGGTAGTAGACCTAGACACAGCCACTGGCGTATCAATGACTCCCTTCTCTCGACTATTGACAATTTGCCGTACATTGAGCATTGTGCTCGCCAATACTTTGAAATTAACGAGGGTTCAGTCGCCTCCCCTGTGAGTTTATGGGAAGCTCATAAGGTTACCATGAGAGGACATCTGATCGAGTTAGCTATTCGCAGAAAGCGAGAACGGTTGCGGAAAATTGAGGCCCTGCAGGAGAGCCTGGTGCGCCTTGACCGCACCCTGAAAAATAAATATAAAACATGTGCTCAGCTGTCCTCTGTGAGAACCCAGTTGAACTTGATGCTGGACCAGCAGTCGGAGAAACACCTGCGGTGGTCCAAACACAAGTTCTATTCCAGAGCTAACAAACCTGGTTCCTTGTTAGCGAGGAAACTAAATACGCTACCTTCCCATGCAGCCCCAATCCGCCTGCGAAACTCCCAGGGTAATGTGACGGCCAACCCAGTCAAGATCTTGGATCTCTTTATGGACAACTTGAAAGCCCTCTATGCTAGCCAACAAGCCTTCCGAAACTCCACTGCCGAGGAACTCTTTACTAATATCACTCTCCCTCAGATTTCTCGAGGCGATTTAGAACTCTTGAATTCTGATGTTCAGGAAGAGGAAGTCCTTAGTGCAATCAAACAACTGAAACCCTCCAAAGCACCGGGTCCGGATGGCTTATCGGCCCTCTATTATAAGAAACTAGCCCCCATTCTGTCCCCCAGATTGACGACTTTATATAACTCACTTAAAAATAACCTGGAACTGCATTTGTCCTCGCTCCTGGCATTTATTGCCATGGTCCCGAAACCTGATAAAGACCCTCTAGATCCTAGCAACTACCGCCCGATATCGCTTTTAAATATTGACATAAAAATACTAACGAAAATCTTGGCCAAACGTATTAAAACCTTTCTACCCACGCTTGTACATGGAGATCAGGTGGGATTTATCCCGAGGCGACAGGCTAGTGACAATGTTCGGAAAATTGTACACATTATTGATATCCTTAAGTCCGGAGGCATCCCAGGATTTTTATTGTCCTTAGTCCTCCAGAGAGCCTTTGACTCCATTTCCTGGGACTACTTAACATATGCCTTGGGAAAATGGGGCATTCATGGCTCATTCATGGCATGGCTTCACACCCTTTATTCCAATCCTACAGCTCAGGTGAAATATCTGGGGTGTACGTCATCAGCATTCCCTATAGCCCGAGGTACGCGTCAAGGATGCCCTTTATCCCCGGCCCTTTTTGCGCTAGCTATTGAACCCCTAGCAATTCTGATACGTTCTAACCCCGATATCAAGGGAATTGAATTAGCAGGAGTAGAATATAAAACCAGCTTATTTGCCGATGACGTCACGCTTACGCTCACTCAACCTCATACCACTGTCCCGAATCTCCTCGCTCTGCTACAGCGCTTCTCAGCTATATCTGGTCTTACAGTCAACTGGGGCAAATCCGCTGCCTTAAATGTGAATCTGTCCCAATCCTCGTATGACTGTCTATGTGCGAACTATTCATTCTCCTGGGCTAAGCACTCTATAAAATACCTAGGAATACATATTACACCTACCTATGAGACCTTATATGCTGCAAATTATATACCGCTTTTCCGCTCTTTGAAACATCTCATGACCAAATGGCAGAATCTTAACCTCTCCTGGTTTGGCAAAGTGGCTGCTATTAAGATGACATTGTTGCCTAAACTCCTTTATTTTTTTCGAACTTTACCTGTGGCAATATCACCTTTTGCCTTACCTTCCCTACAGCGGCAAATCTTACATTTTATCTGGCACCCCAAGAAAGCTAGAGTTGCTAAATCCACTTTATACAAACATAAAAGAGACGGGGGTATCGGACTGCCTAATATATGGCTTTATTATCAAGCCTCACAACTCCTACCACTCATTTCAATTCACCAGAAGACCAACTTCCCAATGTGGATGTTATTGGAAATCCCTACTTGTTTTCCCATACCACTACATGCTTTACCTTGGTTACCCCCGTGACAGACCCAATACTCTAAGCAAGTCCATGTCACATGCACTCAGGGTTTGGGACACGATCAAGTATTCCGCGGGGTTAATGTCTCCACACCTGCCTCTCCTACCACTGTTTTCACAACCATTATTCCCACCAGGAGCCTCAGCGCCTATGACATTTAGGTGGTGGTCAGCCAATGGTTATGTCTTAGTTTATGATTTTTTCCGTTCTAATTATGTTCCTACTTGGCAGTATATTAAAGAGCGTAAACAACCACATGAATCTGAATTGTTCAGATACCTTCAGCTCCACCATTGGATTTCATCCTTGGCGAGTAGAAGGGACCCACAGCACCCTCTAACATGCTTTTAGCACCTCTGCTTATATACTCCAGAGGGACCAGGTCTAGTTACAATTCTGTACTCCCAATTACATAAACGTTCGAGCCATGTCTATCATTCTTATGTCCAGAAATGGGAGAAGGATATAGGGGCCTCCTGGACGGCAGAGGATTGGCAACACATGTGGCGTAACATGGCTGGCTGCTCTCTTAACATTACAAATGCGGAAGTGGCATATAAGGTGCTCATGAGGTGGTACATGGTGCCGTCTCGTACTGCACACATGGGGTGGCGCTCTCGGGCTGCTGCTTTCGTGGGTACAATATGCTGGGTGCTTCATACTTCGTGGAAGTGTCCGTTCGCTACCATCTTCTGGTCCAAAATATTTCAATTACTGATCAAACTGTTCCAAGTTCACATTGTAAGGGACCTAAAGTGTGCTCTTTTTCACTCAAATATACCGGGATTAAATAAACACCAACGGACACTTTCCCACTTCATCCTTCTAGCAGCCAAGTTAACGCTGGCTGGTAATTGGAAGAAGCAACAAATACCGTACAGGAAATTTATATCTAGAATGGACAGTATCATGTTGAATGAACGATTGACAAGCATACTGGTGGACAAACAACCCGTGTTCCTCAAGGTGTGGAAACCATGGATACAGCTCCAACACCCTGACATGACCGAATCTAGCCTCTGTGGCATATGAAGAGGTCTTATTGAGCTGGTAAGGAGATTACCCCCCTGAGGGTTTAATGCAACTACTTTTCTACTGGTGATGCTTCATATGGTCCCCCCCCCCCCCACCCAACTCTTTTTCTTCTGTTTTTTCTCCCTCTTCGGGGACTCTGGGCTACCATGTTTCTCGACACATACTAATATAGAATGTTGAATCTCTGAATTGAGCAGACGTTAGAAATTTTGTGTTAAGGTTGCTCCAACCTGGCTCTGATTGGTTGCTCAATATAATCTCCTTGCATACAATGTAATACAGGACTATGTATAATTTTATCAGTTATATAAGTGGATCATCTGTATACTCAGTGATATGTGTAATACAGGGTTCCGAAGTTATTTGTATGGACCCACGTTTGTGAAAAACCCTAATAAAAACTTTGAAATTGAAAATAACCAGAATGCCATCCCATACCTGTATCTGCGGCTTCAGATAACTAATAATAGGGCCCCCAGCCGCAAACCACCGCCTCGGGAACCAATATCTGTTAACCGCAGACACTTCACAGGCCAAAATTATGTGGTCAAAACAACTGACCACCACTTAAAGGACACCACCCCTATGATGGGTCACCAATCCTTGTCAATAAACCCACGGCATCCATAACGCCTTCAATCTTGGTCGCACACCTTCCATACACTTTGCGATTATCGTACGAGATATTGCAACCCGCTGATCTTTAGCTCCCAGTTTCCCCAGTCACTAGTCGAGACCGAGTGTAGGTTGAAACAAACTCTGATTTATTGAGCAACTGTGCAACCTTTTATACAGAAAGTGATCAGATAAAACTATAATCCCATCACATCCCCTTTCCCCTCCCTGGACATTCTGTCTGCACAACAACACAGGGTTCCACCTGCTAAAGAGCTCCAGATAGCCGTAGTAGGAGCCTGGCCAGAATGTCATTGTCCTGAGCTCCTTCAGAGTACAAAGCGAGATAACAGGGGGTGTGCTGGCATTCTTTTCATAAACAGGTTACACAGCATAACACACTTAAACATAACCCTACACCAATAGACATTTAACTCATAAAACTGATGGCCATGTCATCATACTGTTCATTTGCAAAAACTTAAGTATCTAAAAGGTCATATGATGAGGAACGACAAATGGATGTGAAAATAGTTATGCGGGTCCTGTATATCATAAGACAACAGGTTTTACAGATGGCTTAATGCAAAAGGGAGTCTGTCATGCAAATTTGAATCAAGTTTTACATCAGTGAACTTCTGGTGCAATCTATATAACATTTAATTCCTTTAATTTACAGATACAGGGAGCAATTATAGTGTCAAGTTTGTTTGAAATCTTTATTGGCTTTGTTGGTTTACCTGGGGCGCTGCTCAACTATATTGGACCTCTCACTGTTGCGCCAACAATCTCCCTGATTGGACTTTCAGTGTTTGAACCTGCAGGACAAAGAGCTGGGTCGCACTGGGGCATATCAATTCTGTAAGTTTTGAATCAAATATCTGTTACATCCTTTTTATTTTATAACGTTATTTAATTACTATATTTTTGGTCTATTATGGCACATGGTAAATTGATGTTTTTGCTGGAATTGAAGAGTAGATGAATGTTAAATTTAATCTCCAAACCTGTAGAGGGTTTGCTCCCGGAATTTAAAAACATTTGTGTTTTTATTTGTTTTTTTAAGGAATGTCAGAACGTTTACTCTGATATTTCATTTATGAAAACAGGTTGAGTTTTCACAACTCAACTGATAAGCTGAGTTCTTTATTTGCATGAATTTGAAGACGAAATAACAAGCAAATATATATTTATTAACTAAAATCAGTGCAAAATAATCAAAATATAATTGGTTACAATAAATAATAAGAATCTAAAATATGCAGTAATATTGATCAGCAAGGATAATAATAAAAATAAAACCACAGGATATTATTTCAAATATTCATGAAACAAAACTATGTATCTCCTGAAATGCAGCTACTAACACTCTCAGCGGTTCAGCAGGATGTGAAAAAATAATGTGCAGATTCAACATGTGACCTCTCCCAGCAAAACAGATATTCAAAGCTCAAAGTCCTTACTGCGCATGAACAAATTTAGAATACTATGCAAAGGACTAGCTAAATCAGCCAATAATCTGAGTTAAAGACAAACTTCCACTAAGTTATTTTTTTATGTATTTATCACAAACTAAATAATTGACTATAAACTGAAATCAGCTTCGAGGAGATTTCAAAAAGACTCCTCCTAAAATTGAAAGAGAGACACTTTTTACTGAAGCTAAAATTACTCCAATTCAATCCTGATGCTAGCAATAACAGACTAGTTAGACTAAATGATTTAGATATATATAGATCTATATATATCTATATATATAGATATATATAGATCTATATATATCTATATATATAGATATATATAGATCTATATATATCTATATATATATATATAGCTAGTCAATTGCTTACAGATAAATGTCAATCTTTACTTTACCAAAATTGAAAATAATTTTGTCTCAGAGATGTCAGCTTTGTGTCAGTATAGGGACAGGAGATGTTCAGGTTCTCCTTGTTCAGTTCACCTGGTAGCCCATCAATTAGCTTCAGATCCCTCATTTGTGTGTGTGTCCATCCCCCTGTATCAGGTGTCTCCTCGCCTAAACTTTTTCCTAACTTATCACCCAAAATGTAGGAGGAGATAGCTTATCCTAACTGAATTATGACGTTATACACTTCCAAATTATCCCCGCAATTACCTGAAGAGGACAATATTGGACCAGGAATAATTTGGGATTTTTCCTTAGAATTCTAATATTATTCCATGGCCATAACACCTTTGACCTAAACCGTGTTAAAAACCATAAAATGAAGAGATAATCAGCTATCTTGACAGAACTTGTCAGACCTAATAAAACTGTATACAAGGTAACTTTTAATGCGAGCTCTCTTTCATGTGTTGTAAAGATGAGAAAGGAAAAAAAATATCATGGTGAATGTTTCCTTTGTACTTTTGTAAGCTTGAGACATGGCATCTCCATTAATCTCACAGTCTAATACAGTCTGGTACCATGGTCAGTCCTTATCTTGTCATTGTTGTGTGGTACCCCCAGAAGTTACAACCTGGGAATGTTTGCTGTAAGGGTCTGAGGATGTCTGATGTTAGTGTTTGTCCAGAACCCATGCACTCAAATTCACCTTATATACAGATATAATGAACAAAAATGGCTTGTATGTCCACGTTATATTATGTAGAATAATAAGTACAGGCCTTACAGTTTCTTCCTTTTAGCAACACTGAAGTTGTCACAGGTCGGCTCTATTGATCAGGAACTCAGCGAACATATATCACTGATCGCTGAGTTCCCGATGCTCTCCCTGCAGAGAACAGTGTCTGTCAGTCACCACTCCCTGCAGGGATTGGGGGGAACCCTCTCCGTTTCTCCAGCGCTGACTGGGGGAACTGACAGGGCAGGCACGTCACAGCTGGCTCTGTCTCTAAAAAGGCAAAACCAGCTGTCAGTCAGTGGGGTAGATCTTGGTAGTATTGTTGGGATCCGTCCAGGTGTTCCTTGAGAGATGTCGAGAGCGTTGGGATGCATGACCGCGTCCCTTCCGGTGGCGCAGACTCAGCTTTTCCAGGGCAGATTGCATCACTGCACATTTTTGCCTGGAGCAGCTGATCAGTCCAGAATTGTCACAGCTGAGTTGCCCCTACTGCGCTTGCGTGTGGCTATTGCGGCCATGTCAACAATAAAAAATCGAATCAAATATAATTAAACGAAATATTAAATATAATTATTATGACCATGTTAATAAAAATAATTTAAGTAAACAAAAAAATTAAGTTTTAGGCTAACTAGTTAGCCATATTTGTAGGAGGAGCCCCACACATTTAACCCCCCCGGTTTCCTCTACTTACCCGTAGGGTCGTCTGTGACACCCCACCCACCTTACCCTTTCTAATAACCGTTACTTTAAATATGCCCCCTTATTTTGCATACTGACCATAGCAACCATGGCAGGTCAAGTTAGGAAGGTTTGCTATCCCTTTTTCAGGTACGTATCAGTGGGGCTCTGACTACAAATATATATATATATATATATATA